GAGCCCCAGCCATGCCGGGTGGAAGGGTACATCCTCCGCCGTTGTTTCTGCCTTACCTAACCGCCCATCCCCAGGGCCTCTGCTTTCAGGGAACTTCCTCATCCCCCCGCCCTGTGCAGTCATTAACACTTGGGGAGTTCATTTTGTCTCTCACAGAGATGCTCTGGGGCTTTGTAACTGTTGATTGTACGGTGAGGAGATAGCAGCTTGGTGGTGGGCCGGGGCCGGAGGACCTCAGATCTCCTCCCGAGAATGTCTTTTCCCGTAGTTTCCTCACTCGCTATTGCTGCTTCCCCATCTCAGTGAGGAGAAAGGCAGGAATAAGAGACTCGAGAAATACACAACGTGAGCGCTCTGCGAAACGAAGCTTGAGTCCTACGGCGCGGAGGTAGCCCGTGTAAACGCGGGAGCCCCGAGCCTGGTAAAACAAGACAGCTTTCTCGGGAGGGGGAAAGAGAGGAAAGGAAAGGAAAGGAGAAAGGAAAGGAGAAAGGAAAGGAGAAAGGAAAGGAAGAGAAGAGGGGGAAAGGAAAGGAAAGGAAAGGAAAGGAAAGGAAAGGAAAGGAAAGGAAAGGAAAGGAAAGAGGAAAGGAAAGGAGGAAAGGAAAGGAAAGGAAAAGGAAAGGAAAGGAAAGGAAAGGAAAGGAAAGGAAAGGAAGAAGAGGGGAAAAGCTCCCCTCTCGCTGTCCCCTTCCCCCACCACACATACCACAATATCACCTGGTGCCCGTTCCCACACCAGACTTCCTGGAAGAATAGCTTTGTCAACGTTTAAATCCACCGAACAATTTCTGTCTGCCCAGATTAAAAATACTGGCGTATCCCCACGGCCCCGGGCACGGCCGTGTGCCCTGCGGGACCGGGAGAGGCTGAGACCACGGGCCTCTTCCCTCTCCCACGGCTCCGCACGCTTCTCCCCAACCTATTCCCACCTCACCAACACTGGGTGCTTTTTCCCCTGTCTCACTTTAAATGAACCTTGCAGTCTTTTCTTCTTTCTTTTCTTCTCTTTTCTTTTCTTTTCTTTTCTTTTCTTTTCTTTTCTTTTCTTTTCTTTTCTTTTCTTTTCTTTTCTTTTCTTTTCTTTTCTTTTCTTTTCTTTTCTTTTCTTTTCTTTTCTTTTCTTTTCTTTTCTTTTCTTTTCTTTTCTTTTCTTTTCTTTTCTTTTCTTTTCTTTTCTTTTCTTTTCTTTTCTTTTCTTTTCTTTTCTCTTCTTTTCTCTTCTTTTCTCTTCTTTTCCCAAGCTAGAAACATTTACACTTCAAAAGAGGCGCCCGCCTCTCTGCGGAAATTTCAAGAAAAATAAACTTTTGGGGGGAATTGCGGCGATAGTTATCTTTCGATCTGCTTCATTAGCCGGCTTTCTCCAGCTGATCAAGCCAAAATCTTCTCCATTGATCCTGTTTTCCACCCCCGGCCCCAATACACATGACCGCGAGGGCCCTGTCAGCTCCCCTCCGAAGTCTTTTTAGTTCTCCCGTGCTGCCTTGGCTTCGCCAACTTGCCGAGCTCGCCTTGTCCCTGGGAAGCCGGTTAAACAAACGCTGTTCTCGGCAATTGCCTCCTCTCCTTCGCTGCCAGCCTGGGAAGGGCGCTCCGCCCGGGAACAATAGGGGTCGGACGGCGAGGGGAGCCCCTTGGAAAAGTCAGGCCTTGAGCAAAATTGTTGTGTCTGCGATCGTCGTTGTCTCCAGAGCCAGGGCTTGCGCCCACGTTGGCTCCCAGTTTCCCAGATTTTTACGGGTTATCTGTTGCTGATTACACTGGAAACCAGTTAAACGCGACCTATGGCTAGCGGGAGGGCGCACAGTGGGGGCAGAAATTTTGTATTTATCCCACCTCGGGATGCCGCTAACTCCTCTGCTCAACACATCTCCTGTCGTCTTCCCCCTTGCCAAGCGTGCGAGCGCTTTCAGCCTAAACGTTGGTAGTTTGGAGGAGGTTTAGCTCTGCCCTTAATACTCCCCAGCAGGATAAATCTGTGCTGACCATCTATATGTATTTTTCTGACCTGCGACAACTAATTTAACCTCGCGTGGGAAACTCGGGGGCGAAATCCCTGGCTGTGAAAAGATAAAGAAGGGGGAAAAAAAAAAGAGTCCAGGGACGTGAGCGTTTAAGGGAAGGAGTCAGCGTGTGTGTGAGAGGGGTCTTCAATGAAGGGGGAGCTTTGATAAAACCTTCCTGGACGACTTTTGGGGTGTTTTGTCTGAGGACCCAGTGATTTCTGGCCTGAGGAGACATCCCGCTGCCTCTCCCCAGCGAGCACTCGGGGGAAAGGGACGTCCAGACCAGGGATCCCTACTGCTGGAGGGGTGCTGGGGATCAGATCTCCCCCGGCGGGAAAGGGCGAAGGGGCAGGGCTGGGGTGCCGGGCAGCAGCGTGGAGATGTGGGAGCGGGATCAAAACTGACTTCAGAGGCTTTTCCCGGGCCAGG